TCATCCGCATATTGATGGCACCCAAGCCCACAACTCCGGGCAATCTGAGCAAGGGGGCACATGTAGATGTTAAACAACATCGGGGACAGCAGAGCCCCCTGAGGCACCCCACACTCTAGGGGATGTCTCTGGGACTGCTGGTCCCCTATCGCCACCCTTTGTCCCCGACCTTGGAGAAAAGAGGCGAACCATTGAAGGGAGCAAGGGGGCACATGTAGATGTTAAACAACATCGGGGACAGCAGAGCCCCCTGAGGCACCCCACACTCTAGGGGATGCCTCTGGGACTGCTGGTCCCCTATCGCCACCCTTTGTCCCCGACCTTGGAGAAAAGAGGCGAACCATTGAAGGGCAAGCCCCTGAATCCCCGTGTCGGCGAGGCGGTGGGCCAGCAGCTGGTGGTCGACCGTGTCGAACGCGGCCGACAGATCTAACAACACCAGTGCTGCCACACCACCCCGATCCAGATGCCTACGGAGATCGTCAGTCACGGCGACCAACACCTCTCCGTCCCATGACCCAGGCAAAAGCCAGACTGGTAGGGATCGAGGACGGAAGCATCCTCCAGAAAGCTCTGTAGCTGTAACACCATTTTTTGCCATTTATTTCCCTTGTGCATAAATGAGGAATCATGCCTCCGCACTGAGGGCCCCCTATGGAGTATGCGATGATGCACATACTGCGAGGGGGGGGGGAAACAATGGCACCGAGCCAGGATGGCCTGTTCAGACCATCCCGATGGCAAGCTTGTGTGCTTGCACGAACATACAGGGGAAAGTCCATCCGTGGCCCGTCAGAACCCATTTACTACCAGAATTTCCCTGCTGCGATCACACGCACCAGTAGATCTGACATAGGTATGAATGTCTGATGGATCTAAAGGGTGCAATCAGACAGTAACATCTGGGAAGTGTCCCACACTTACTGGCAACCTGTGCTGCTCCGCTACAGAAGCGGAGTGAAAAGACACTGGAGAAATTCTGGTAGTAAACAGGTTCCGACAGGCCACAAATGGGCTTTCCCCTGTCCAGTCACACAAGCACGCATGCATGCCATCGGGATGGTCTGATCAGGCCATCCCGGCTCGGTGCTGTTGCCCCCCCCCTGCAGTATGCACATCATCGCATACTCCATAGGGGGCCCTCAGTGCAGAGGTGTGATTCGTCGTTTATGCACAAGGGAAATAAATGGCAAAAAAACCCGACTCACCCGCAGTTGTGTCTGATCACACAGTGACGGGTTGCGCCCACAGCCACAAAAGGAGGTGTGATCTCACAACTGCGTGTCAAATTCCTCCAGAGGGAATAGCCACACTTCCCCTCCATTTCAACTGGCACGTGTGACCGCAACCCCCCGGTGTCTTTTTACCGCTTCTGTAGCAGAGTAGCACGGGTTGCCGACAACTGCGGGACGCTTCCCAGATGTTGCTGTCTGATTGCACCCTTTAGATCCATCAGGCATTCATACCTGTGTCAGATCTACTGGTGCGTGTGATCGCAGCCTTAATAAGTTTTGCAAAGTAAGCGAGCCAGCTTTTAAGTTCCCCAGAACTCTTTTTCCTCCCCAGGCAGTATGTTAGGCAAAAAGGAATGTGATGTTAAAAGACAACCCCCTTATTCTGCGGTGTTTGGCTGACCTGTGGGAGTTGGAAGCTGGTCCATGCTAGGTGCTACACAGCTTTCAGGTTATGCAACCACTACTGGGACAGAGAAGTGATGGAAGTTCTCTCTTGGAAATGTTACAAGCCAGCAGTAATTTAGATCTGCCTTTAGGGCTCGTCACAGAATCTAGTACTGGTCCCCTTCTCCATTTTTGCTGCCAGATCACAGCTGGTTTATGGTAACCCTGTAGGGTTTTCCAGGCAAGAGACATTCAGAGGTGGTTTGCTATTGCCTGCCTCTGCATCAGGACCCTGGTATTTCTTGGAGGTCTCCCATCCAAATACTAACCAGGACTGACCCTGCTTAGTTTCTGAGATCTGACGAGACCGGGCTAATCTGGGCTATCCGGGTCAGGGCTCCATTCTCGTTTAGGCAGGGATAAATCAAATAAACATAACAGTACAGTTTCTTCAGGAAACATGGGCTGGGATGCTTGGAGGCAGAGAGAGGACTGGGACTAATGGTAACCAGGGAAGAAGAGGGAAAGGATCTGCCAGGCCCACTAGAAAGGATAATCTGGTTTGTTGTTGGCCTCAAGCTGCCCGTTCAGAAATAAGCACTAAAAGTAGCTTGAAGCATGAAAGCAGAATAAATTCTGCACAGTAATCTTGCATGATCCAGCCTGCCTCGTGAATTTGGTTGAGCTGATCACAAAATGTGGCTGTTTTGCCAAATGGTCACAGATAGGGCCAAGCTGTAGTAAAGGGCTTGTCTTCACAATCGACATTCATAAACAGGTTCCAAGAGAACATTGGCCTTGAAGCAGTAGAAAAGAGTAAGAGTCCAGTAGCACCTAAACGACTAACAACATTTGTGGTAGTGTATGAGCTTTTGTGAATCACTGCTCTCTTCTTCAGATACAGGTAGAATGTGAGTCTGTCCTGTATATTGAAAAGTGAAGTGATTTCATATGTCAAATGACGTTAGCAGGCAAATGACAATAGCAGGCTTGATTGGATTAGGTATGATACACAGAGAGGTAGTAGAAATCAGCATTGGTAATGAGACAGGAAACCTAGGTCTCGATTCAGTCCATGAGGATGCATTGTCTTGGGCTTCATTATCAGTTGCAATTCAGCAGTCTTTCTTTCTAATCTCCCTTTGAAATTCCTTTGTAATATAACTGCTACTTTTAGGTCAGCGACTGAATGCCCTGGAAGGCATGTCCTGGCCTTGAAGGATGCTTCCAGGAATGCACTGACATGACCTGCTGCTGCTTCTGTCTCTCTCTAGGCTGATGCGAAGATGGTCTGCGATGTCGTCAGTCGGATGGAGGACACGGAGCCCTTCTCTCCAGAGCTGCTTTCGGCAATGATGAGACTTTGGGCAGACTCTGGCATCCAAGAATGCTTCAACCGGTCCCGAGAATATCAACTCAATGACTCTGCTCAGTAGTGAGTATCTTGGTGGGGCTCTGCATCCCAAGTCCCCAGTTTTAGGCATTTGCCATTAAAGAATCCCAAAGCAGAAGAGGCAGGAAACATTCTCAGATGGTCCTTGTAGTCTACTGCTGCACTGCAGCAGTCCTTCACTTCCGGGATTCTCTTGTCTACACAGGAAAATCCAGTTGCAAACGATTGCAGTAGCACAGTGATAGTGCAATAGCCAATGATGTGCAGATGCAGTCCAGGTAGAACCAGTGGGACCTACGTTCTGATCTAGATGTGTTTACATTCTTCTGTAACTTAATGAAAACATCGTAGAATAAAGTGTAAGAGTTCATGCCTTTTAGGGAGTAATCATTATTATTTGGCAGATGCTTGCTGGGCAGTTATCAGCAAGATGGAGAGCGACCTAGGAATTAAAGAAGCCAATTGGGAAGAAGAGAGCTTCACTACCCTATGGAGTTCTGAGTTCCTCCAGGCTTCATGGAAGCAGAATAAATTATGCAAATAGAGATTGATGCTGGGCTTGAATAATATATACAGACTGCAGGAGCCAGAATGTAGACTACCTCAGGCTGGCCTTTGAGTGGTTTAAAAAAACCCGCCAAGTAGCCCCAGCCCCAGCCATGGTCTGCATTACAAGAGAAATGTATACATGGAAGGATGGTCTGCTTGACCCCTGACCTTCTGCAGGCAAAGCAGATGCTCAGTCACAGAATCATGTCCCTACCCAGGGGTCATTTCCTGCAGAAGCGCACAGGAGCGGAGCTCTGGCAGTAAAGAGCCCAGGGGGCGGAGTCCTCGACCCTTCCCAGGAGGTCCAGGGGTCCTGGCCCAGTGTCCACCCAGAGGTGACAACTTTAAGAAGGGAGGGGGTCGGGGACACGGGATCACCTGGGCTGGGCGTCAGGGACCTGACTGCCTACGACAGGGTTGGTGGGTGGAGCAACGAGAGTGGAATGTCGTGGAGCCCCGGCTTGTGGCTCGGTTAGTTTAAGAAGTGGGTGGTGGGTGAAACAGGTGTGGAGGCTGCACGAATAAAAGAACGAACAGGTGAAGCCAGGGAGGATTCGGGGAGAGCTAGCGAGGTAGACGGAGAGGAGAGGGACGTATCCGCTTGAACTCGTCTAAAGCAAGCTCTCCCAGTTGAGGCAAGTGAGTTTTAACTTGACCGACAAAATATCTGAGGCAAACCTGGGTCAATATTGCTGGGTAAATATTGTTCAGCCTTACAACCTGGATTCAATTCAATCCACGACCGACTCGGACCCTCACACAACCCTGAGCATGACACATGTCCCTACCCCTTTGTCTCGCAGTAAACCATGAGGCTATGAATAGAGCTTGCAAATGCTTACCGTGTGCTTCACAAACACAGAGTTCTTCCCGCTTCAGGAAGAACGTCATCAAATCAGCCTGTCTGCCGTGTTGCATTTCACCAGGACTGTGCATTCTACATGCAAAAAAAGAAATGAAAAGGGGGAAAAAAGAAAATTCTTCTCCCAGACAATCTAAAATATTCAAGCATATCTTCCCAGCTAGAAACTTTAAGAAAAACAAAAACACACAAAACACAGAGAAAGTAAAATTCTTAGGCTTGTGCAGCCATGACAATTTGGGAAAACACTCCCCACACACATCTGTGGAAGCATGATAGGCACATGTGTGTAAAGTGCTGTCAATTCACAGTCAACTTATGGCAAGGAGCTTTCAAGGCAAGTGAGAAGCAGTGGTGGTTTGCGCAGCCCCGTAGCTAGGCTATTGGGGGGGAGGGGGGCTGGGGGGGGCCACCAGCTAATTAAATAAAATGCTCCAGGGCAAGGGGGGGTCTGCTTGGCGTGCACCCACACAGCCCCCACTAGAGCATTCCTCTGAGGCGAGCCTAATCCCAATGTTAATAGACACTAAGGCTCCTCAGAGGTCTAGCAAAGCTGCTGTGTTTTGTTTTGTTTTGAAAGGAGAGCGGGGATCAAGCTTCCTCCCTCACTCCTTCCCTGAGCCGACATCTGAAGCCTGGCATAAAATCCAACAGGAGGAGCGAACTGCTGCAATCTGACCAATGTGTGTGTGACTCTGTCAACCACCTGTTGCTGCTGGGTCCTAAAGAGACTCATCTCATAGCAGATGAGCTCAAACAGGGAGATGCCGGCTCATATTCGTGAGGCGATCGATCAGGGGGTGAAGGGGCTGGAGGGAGGGAGGGGGAGCTGAGGATCGGGGGAGGGGCCCGCAAAAACAGCAGGGGGGGCAGGCCCCATGGGTCCCACATTAGCTACGGGCCTGGGTTTGCAATTGCCTTGCTCGGAAGTCTCCCATCCAAGTACTAACCCGGGCTCACCCTGCTTAGCTTCCAAGATCTGACAAGATTGGGCTCTACCATGCCACCTTCCCTGATAGACACATCACTTTGCCTTAACCCTTCGTCCAGTACCTGCACTGCTTAGCTGCCACAATCAGTCTTCTCTTGGTCTGATGCATGACCAGCATTGACCACTGGCGACGTCACTTCCAGCGTGCATCAGAAAAGACATCATCATGTTGGCGATGTCCAAGCGTCACTCTGGTATTTGGGCAAAAACTCTATGGTAGAGGCCAATTTTACCATAGTGTTTTTGCCCAAATACCAGAGTGTCGTCATTACATCATAGCATGATGACATCCCTTCTAGTGCACACCAGAAATGACGTAGCCATATTGCCAGCCATGTTGCCTGGGCCTCCCTCCCTCTCCTGGTAAGTCCCACCCCTTCCATAACCGGCGGCTTGGAGCGACCCGGCAACCCGAGTCCCCATGTTAGACCTAACACAATCAGAGCTAAGTTGCGGGTACTCTTCAGTTCCTATGTGAACGGTGCCTGGTTCGTATGAGGACAATTGAGAAGGGGCTTCAGCCTTCCCCCTTGCTCTACTTTTCCAACTGGAAACCATCTGGGGGGAGTACTATTTGGGGAAACCTACATGTTCCCAGAGTACACATTGGTTTACCAACATGCCAGTTTTTGGGGGGGGAGGTTGTTGTCAAGTCGAAGCCAATTTATGGTGACCCCTGTAGGGTTTTCAAGGGAAGAGACATTCAGAGGTGGTTTGCCACTGCCTGCCTCTGAGTAGCAAACCAGAACATCCCTGAGGGTCTTCTATCCAGGGACTGACAATGGCTGACCCTGCTTCGCTTCTGCGATCTGCCAAGCTCAGGATAGCCTGGGCTATCCAGGTCAGTAACCCTTGGCACTTGTTAAGAGAACAGTCTGTTGCCCCTACATGGCAGGTCTGCCTGCACACCTGGGCATTTTTACCTTGTGGCTGAGCTACCCATTCAGCAAAATCAATCCAACCTGGTTTTAAAACCAATTCAGAGACTACAGCTGGGGGGCGACGTCTTGGAATGCCACATTTTCCACCCCAGTCTGTTGAATTATAAAGCCCTGCTACTTTTGCCGCTGCTGCCGCTCAGCCAAGTCCTCCGCCATCATTCCCCTCCCCCACTCATGGGCATCTTCATGGCCACAGAATTGTTGTGCAACTCCCAAGTGTTGTGATTCTGCTTAAACATCATCTGATCATAACATGTTCAGATCTGTGACTGCCGCATCCCCTCTGGTGCTTTTCAACACCCTGAGCAGAAGGCCGGTCACAAGTCAAGGTTGTGAGCATTTCCTGGTTTCCCTGGCCATGGGTCATGGTGCATTAGTTGTGCAGGGCAATAATACAAGTGACAGCTCACTCCAGGCTGCTTATGACCCACTTGCTATTTATTTTAGCCCTTGACCACTTCTCTTCCTCTCCCTCCACAACTCTGAACAACAAGAGGATGTAACTCTCCAGCAAATGACAACAACTCATGCAAAGAAGAGAGAGGGCTGGTTTCAAAGTCACCATCCCGAAGATTTAGAGAGTATGTTCTACGGCAACTTCATGTTTAGGACAGAACCTTTTTAAAAAAAATGCATTCTATCTGAAATGTTCTATTCTTAAAACCAGAAATACAGTTAGTCTTTTCGTGAAATTTGATACGAAGGGTCTTTTTCTCCGGGAAGCCCAAAAAGATTGAGGAGCAAATCAAATCTGGACTAAAAAGATATGTGTGTGTGTGTGTGGGGGGGGTTATCATACCCTTTGAGAAGCAAAATGTTTATGATAAATAAAGTATTTGCATAAGAATCCATAAAGGATCAAACACATTTTGGGTGCACAGTCTTCTGCAGTGGACTATAACCCCAAAATGCAGTATCCTCCCATTAATACACACACGCACATATGCACAATTTTTAAAATTTATTTTTTGCCATCAAGTCGCAGCCGACTTATGGCAGCCCTGTAGGGTTTTCAAGGCAAGAGCTGTTCAGAGGTGGTTTGCCACTGCCTGCCTCTGCGTAGCAACCCTGGACTAACCCTGCTTAGCTTCTGAGATCTAATGTGAGTGGGCTAGCCTGGGCTATCCAGGTCAGGGTACATACACAACACAAAGGAAAAAATGTGTCAAAACAATTAGCACGCAATCAGTATCCTATTCAGAGGTCATTTCTGGGGGGATCTCAATCCTTTACAGGCCTTTCTGGAAACCATAATATACTATTTCCACTGAGTGGGTTGGATTCAGCCATGCTCCAAGTGGGCCTTCCTGCAGCTTAAGGGGAGGCTTCCACCAAACTTAAGTGCCTCTTCTTCCAGCGGAAGAAAAATTAGAAGAAGCCTTCTTAGGATGGTGGTCGGTTTCAAGCATGGCTTAGTCAAGTGGTCCCATAGGGACAGGACCCACCCTAGTATCAATAAGAAAAACTAATTTGTAAATTCCTTCATCTCAGAGGTCATTTCGGGGGGGATCGTGGGGGATCGCAGTTCCCCTGGGTGAGGTACGGGGGGCGGGGCACATGACACCCCACCCCCTGCTTCCAGCCGCCCCGCTTCCGGCCCTCATTCAGCCAGGAGGAGGCAGGAGAAGAGGGAGGGTAAGTTGCTTCCTCCCTGCCTCTCCCCACCCCTTCTACGAAACGACCCCTGCTTAAACTTCTC